GACGAGATGATAAACAAGGACATTTAATTGACATTGGATTTGTAATCAGATTTTAGCCAAAATTTTACACTGTTACACCATTTCTAATCGTAGTTTTGAGTGTTCTAACTATTGTTATTTGAGAATTAATATTATGAAGTGTAAAATCGCCACTTCTATCTTCACTAATGCGAAACTTAAGACTAATATTATTGTTAGCCATGTTTGCTTAAGCAAACTCACGCAGTTAATGAAAGTCTATAGTGAGAAAACCGCTCCTATATATTCATAACTTCTGGCATATACATACCTTATTTTACGTTAGCTACACTAGACCAAATTGGATTCTCAAATCACATGCCCAAAAGATCAGCTAAAGTTATACCATAAAGCTGATAAAAATTAATCGCAAATTCACTGTGTTATCTGATGCATTTTTTTTTATCACAATTTGGCATTTTAACAGTCAATCAAGCAGACGCAAAAGGTAAGCATATCAATATAGAATCGAGAACTTATTCAGGCACAGAAGGCCAGCACCCTTGACATAAAATCAGGTATCTAAACACTTACAGAAGGCCAACAACCCCAAAATAGAATTTGACATTCATTCAGACGTAAGAGGTCAATACCAATCAGATAGCTATAAGGCAATAAAAAGCCACAAAGCAATGAAAACAAGTGGATAGCTACAAGGCAATAAAAAGACTACAAAGCACTAATAATTGTAAGAAGATAACAATTTACTCATAAGAAGGTAATAGTTAAGTAGGTAACAATTTAATGCAAGTAGGTTGCAATATATATATATATTGCAACCTACTAAAATTTTTGAATATTTAAATTGATAACAATTCTTTATATTCTTTTTTATAAAAAATATCTATAACTATCATATAATTTGTGAAAAAAATGAATTGTAACAATAATTGCATTATAATAATTTAAAAACCTATAATATTATTTTTAATATAATTAGAAAGTAGTTTGTTATTTTTTCCTTATATAGAACTAGACTAATAATAGCATTCTAAATTATAAGTTTTTTATTGCAAATTTCTATCAAGTATAGTTCTTTGAGTCTCTTTTACCCATTTATAAAATTTTATTACTAAGCTAACATCCCTTAAATATGAGATTTATTTTACATAAGTTTGTTTTAATACAAGGGTAATTCAATGTATAAAAAAAATTTTTTTAAAATGTATTTTTCAAAAATTATTGAATAATAAATTCCATTGACTAAATTTTTGAGCCTCAACTAATCACAAACAAAGCGCAGTAATTTCTCGTTTATTCATTAGAAAAACTTTTATGGTTCTTATTAATCAGGTAAATAGTTTTCGTTATCGTGATGGACTTGATCAAGATCGGTCACATAATCGGATCACGATCGCTATCATTAATTAAATTGTTATTTAATTAAGGTAAGTTTTATGCTTTCAATTTTAATAAATTAATTATAAAACCTACAAATTTTTATTAAAATTATTTATAACAAAGTTTAAGGAATGTCAATAAATTGGTTTGGTTTTACAAGAGGCATTTCTTATCCTCTTCCCATCAGAAAAATAAGTAATTTCAAAATCACAATCGATTTAAAAAATTATAATGTGTTGCGGAAATTATGTAAACTTAAGATGAAATTAATGAGAAATAATCTAAAGGAAAAAAAAACTATAAACAATAAGTAAAACAATATAATATAATTTTTTTTACAAATAAAAAGAAGAATTGTGAATATTTGTTTTTTTTTTTAAAAAAAAAAAAAAAAAAAAAGAGAAGAAAAGAATAATTAAATAATATTAAACGATTAAGGATAGTGGTGATATTAAAAGTGAAGAAACCCGCTCACACTTTTTTAAGAATAAATTACACATACAATACACATTGATAAAAAAAAAAACAAATTCAAAATTTTTTTATTTTCATGAAGAACGATAATTTTTTGAGGTATTTGAACGAATTTCTCTCATACATTTGGCCATTTTGTCACCAACAACCATATGCTCAATTTTACTTACACGTGAAGCCTTTACCAAACTAATTTCACCCATCATTTGATCATACCCAACGAACTCGTCTTCTTCCATATTGTCCTCATCATCACTCCTTATTTCTCTCAAATGCATTAAATTTGAAATATTTGAAGGGGCCCATAAATAATCGCATAAATGTTTCTGTTCTAATGGAGCCAAAATATTTTTAATTATCTGTGATAAAGGTTCGTCCAATGATTCATGAAGTACTATTGGAGGTGTATTGTTTGAAATTGATGGAGACGGTGATGTTGGTGATGACGGTGATGTTGGTGATGTTGGTGATGTTGGTGATGTTGGTGATGTTGGTGATGTTGGTGATGTTGGTGATGTTGGTGATGAAGGTGATGAAGGTGATGGTGAAGTGGGACGCGATCGATTGAAAGATTTGAGAGATTTGAAAGATTTGAAAGGTTTCAGTCGTTTATTCTGTGATGGCATATGTAAAGTATGAAAATGAGCATGCTCGATTTTGATTACATTTAACATGCGCAATGTGTAATCAAGAGCTTCGGGGGAATTTATATGCTTAGCTCTACCCAATTGATTAATAGAATCAAATATTGAAACGAAATGTTCAAGGAATGGGAAACATTTATTATCTTTTCTTGATTCGATTTGCATTTTAGAACATGCCCGTTTTGACGATATAGCATAAGACTCGAAATTCGTTATCCATGTGTTAAGTATACGAGAGTTATTGAATATTGAAGGTGGAGAGGTTGGAGGTAAGGGAGGGAAAGTAGTCGAATTAGAAGGTATTGTAGGAGCACTATCGGATAATATTGGAGAAAGGGAAGGAGAAGTTGAAAGAGGTGGAGATGGTAAAGTGGGTAAAACTTTTTCATAAGGCACATACGGGGAGGTTGAAGAAGCGCTTAACATTGAGGCATCACCACGATTTAATTTAATCTTTGGGGGAACTGATTGTCTGTTATTAAAATTGCCATTTCCACTGGAATTTGTTCTTCGACGAGATTTATTTGAACGACGAGAAGAATGACGATGAGTAGGGGAATTTCTTTTACTTTTACTCGAGTTTTGATAAGATGTTGAAGCAAATACATTTGGATTGATCTTCTCATCGGGTTCTGAAAATTGTTCATGTAAATTCGGATAAGCTTCAATCAACCTTCTCATCATCTCTTTATTCTTATCACGATTACATTTACTAACTAACCATTTCCAACAAGTCTCTATCCCCTCATGAAACCCTATTTCACAACATACGGACAGACAACCGACACCTTTTGTTAAATTATTTGCCAATTCCACGTCCCAGTTTTTTGTGTACATTAATTTTAAAGTAGTATAAAAATTTATTATATCCTCTTCCGTAATACGTGAAGGTAATCGTACTATAATTTGTTTTTCCTTAATTATATTTGAAGCGGGAGAGGAAGGTATGGCCGCAGAAGTTACCGAGAGTTGTTCCTTAAAGAATTGTGATTGAAATAACACGAGAGAGTGTAAACGTAATTCTGTAGGTATACCTGCTCTTGCTGCTAAAATCCCACGATCCTCAAATGATAATCTTACGTCGCTATACATTTGACCTTCTTTCCAAAATAATTCTCCCACACTTGGATAATATGTATGATTATTTACTCTTTTATAACTATTATTCCTTGAAGTGGGTTTACTGTTTCCATGATAAAACACATCATCAAATGAGGCAAACGGATTTGAAGTGCTCACGGAAGAAGTATTGACTTGTAATGGTTGCCCGATGAAACCTAAACTTTCCATGGAGGAATTTGTAAGAAAATCCAAATCTGTGTCTTCAGTCACCATAAGAGGTTTTCTATCTTCGTCGTTAGTAGACAATATGTCTGGGGACATTTATTCATGAAAAAGCACACGCAAAAGAATTCAGCAGGATTATATTAGGGTTATAGTATGATAATTAAAATTCGTTGAATGGTTTTTTCACCAAAGGGAAAAGGATTAGTTATTTTATTCAACTACTTTAGTGCGTGTCGAAAAAATAAATTTTTACTGTTTTTAGTTTCGTAAATAATTATTATTATTTTTATTATTTTTATTTAACACTTGATTAGTTAAAAGAAAAAAAGATTTTTTTCGTTATTAGTAATCAAGGCAAAAAAAATAAAATGAAAAGAAAAGGAGTGTGTGGTTTTTGAGGACAAGATTATATAGAAAATATTTTTCTTTGAAAAAAAAAATAGGAATAAAAATACAATTATAATTTTTAAACTAGTAGTTATTTTAACATCAGAAATAAAAAATTTTTATTTATAATATGCATGCATTGATATCATTTTGCCTTAATATGAAAGAAATAAAAACCGAATTATTTTTATTATTATTGAATATATTACTATTAACTAAATGTAGTAAAAAAAACGATTTATACCTATATTATTTATTATACCTAAAGTAAAAGTAAAACAGGTATGGTATCCAAGCATTAAGTTTCATGAAACGGACATCGTATATGCGGTGTCATGTCACATAATTTCACGCCGACTAACAACAATCAAAACTAAAAATGAAAATATTTAAATATATTTTTACTTTCCATTCCTTTCATACACATTATCACACCATTGTGATAAATAATGGACTAGGTTTTCGGTAAAATGTAAACTAAGATCATTCAAGTTAAGGCTGAAATGACGTGTAATTACTCTAGGTCACGCGGCCGTTTACGGAATTACCATTTCAAAAAAAAAAAATTGTTGTAACTTGCTTTCAAAAAATTTTTTTTTTTCTTCCTCTCTGTTGCACGGCTATTAATGAATTTATTCTGGGGCTTTCAAATGAACTTTGGACATTTTCAATAATGACAAATTCGTAATTTACATAATGTAATATATAAAAAAAAAAAAAAAAAAAAATTTTGATGTTCGTTTTATTCGCTGAAATCGTTAGCGATAAATTATTCGACCATGAAAAGTCTAAAAATAAAAAAAATTTCAATGTATAGTGTGATTCTTAAATTTGTTTTTTTTTAAAAAAAAGAAATAATAATAAATAAATTAAATTAAATTTAACGCACGACCTGTTATAAAACTTGAAATCCTTGTTTCATCTATGGTAATCGTAATCATTGGTCTTTGAGGAAAAAAAAATAAAGTCACGTTTATTGATAAATTGGCATCTCAGATTGGTCATCAAACAAATTCTTAACTTGTTTTGGAATAACGATTTCAACAAGCATGAAACTTTAATGATTATCTTATTATAAGAAATCAACGTTCTATATTGTTTTCATTTTGTCAATTTAATTGTTCATATTTTAAGCAAAGTCAAGGTTAAATCTATTTAAAGTTATTCGTTGGGAAAAAAAAAAAAAGTTCTAAAAGATCGGTTTATTTATTTATGACCACGGAAATTGAATGAATCATGATACAGTTTTTATTGATTGTAATTGAGATCGAAAAAAAAATTTTTTAACTAAATTTAGTATATTGCAGCGATAATCAAAAAAAAATAAGTTTGAAACAGAAAAAATAATTTTTTTTCTTGTTCATTTATTAACCAACAGTTGAATGGTACTTATGATATATTATTTACGACTACAAATTAACAACAATCTCCTTAACATCTAACAATCATAAGAATTCACGGGTTGATCTCACCCCTTCTTTAATAAAGGGGTCTTCTTGGTCAAGTGTTTCTTTGTTTATCATCAAATATTCGTCGCGCTGGGATTCAGTGGTCACGTTTTGCATCACGTTGGTTGTTAACCGTCACAGTTGCCGGTTGTGTGTTTCATGACCACTTTGAATACAATAAGATTATATAATAATTTTGATACGTTTAATATTCGTGATGACCTAATTTGTTTTTTTTTCGCTCCTTAACATAAAATGATTTTAACAAGGGAATATCCTATATATATATTGTATATATGTATATTTAATATTTCTTTGTATTTAAACGGCAAATTTTGATTCGTGTCACCGCATTAATTGACACGTCCTTAATATTTTGAAAAGAGATGATGATATGCACTTATGTGACAAATAAACATCCACATGCAAAAACCTGTGAGCTTCATGTAATTTGAGTGATCAATGAAAAGATTGTTTCATGTATGTAATATATATATATAAGAATAAAATAAAGTAAAAAATAAAATAAATAAAAATGCGGAATTTAAAATAAATAAAATCCACACGTTTGGATTTCACTTATGCCATTAAAGAAAGTAAAGAAAATTCGAAAATTAGACATTTACCGTAACGTGCTGAATCACAGCATTCTTTAATTCCTGATCAATCAATTAACCTAGACCAGATTCCAATAATCGACCACCTTTTTTTCCTTAAAACGTTAAACAAATGATTTTTTTGTTTTGTGGATCTTTTATTAATGATTCTTTCATCGTTAAATCTTTACAACAAAGCGATTATGGTGTCATTTGCGGATTCATGATCCACACACTTATGCATTGACACTTTCTTATTATGACAGTAAATATAGTAATAATATATGCGAAAGGATTCCATGTGGGAAATATAAAGATCAAACAATGATGAGGCATTTGATCAAAAAAAAATCATTTGCACACACCCAACACAACAAAGTGATGATAAAAACACGGAAAATTATATGTACGAGTCGGTATTTCCGATCTGTCAAATCATTTGTAACGAAAAAAAGATCAAAGCGTGCAACCATTAAAACTACTTATCATGTGTATCTATCCAAAAAAAAAAAATTATTTTAGGTAAGCATTCCGGTGATGAATAATCGGTCGTGTCAAATAAAAATAAATCCAAAAAAACTTACTAGTTCTAGCATATTATTTTTAACCAGCCATTTTATCCATGATAGGGAAATCATACATTATCACAAAGTCAAAAAGAATAAAGCCTTTCAAGACAATACAATAACAAATACATTGTATACAACACATTTAATCAAGGAATTTTCTTTAAAAAAGAAATAAAGAAAGAAAAGGGGAAATCTTTTAAGATTATCAACCAATTTAACTTGAAATCCGTCATGAAAATTACGCGCGATATGATCTGGTTCTGGGAATATTTGACTAAAATTAATTTGTTATTACATTTTAGTTTAAATGTAATAAAAATTAAAATGTATAGAACTTGATTTTCTTAGATCACAACACAATTTTTCTTTACACAAAACAATTAATGAATTGACTCAGGACATCTTTTTTTAGCAACTTGATAAAATTCTTTGTAACCAATTTTAAATCTTGAAAATTTCAAGACTGAAAACTGGTTTTTTTCTTTGATTATTAAATAGCCGACAGCATTTAAAAAGGCAATTAACAGCTGAACTCATGTCAAAATGTAGCCACCTGCCATAGTTCATGTTCAATTTATAAGGAGACGAGAACTTTAGAAACCTTTTATTTTTAAATATTTATAAATAAGTTAATTCATTGTTTTAGAACCAAATGTGGATCCAGATTTTTCTCTTAACCCCACATTTTTTGAATTTGTATAACGAATGATTGTACCGGTCGTGTTGGGCATTAAATTAAGGAATAGGTTCGGCTGATTTTATAGTGATGACATCATTAAATTGTGGAGACAATCCTGATAAGAAATACATGAAAGGAAAAAAGATTGTGACGAGAGATGGTTAATATTTTAATTGATAGACATGGCTATGTTAAGATCCTGAAACATTTTAAGTTAGAGACAGATTAATCGATAGCATACATCTTTTGGCATATAATAAGTCTTATTATTAATAATTATTTTGACATTTTAACATCAGAAATATATATAGGTCGTGAAATTAGATATAAATATCAACAACTTTATTTCGAAATTTCATACAAAAGTTAATTGTCCATTTTAATCATTAGCTTCATTGATTCAGACCATGATAATAGGATACTATTCATTTAAGAATAATTGTTCTACAAAGAAATTGACATATATTGATTTGATTTTATATTTTAAAATTCGCAAATTTCTCATTGTTAAATTACCTTAAATTATTATCACTTTTTATATACAATCCAGTTTATTTTTATATTCAAAAATGTTCATTAATGTTAAAAAAAAAAGAATAAATTAGGAGAGATGTTTACCTTTATACTTGTATCAGCTAGGTTAAAAATAGGCGATCTATAATTATTTCCCTATATGTCATGACTATATAGCATAAAGAAAAAAAAAAGTTCCAAAATCTTCCGGATAGGCAAAGCAAAATGAATTTCGCAATATCATCGAAATCGATTACGGATATCAAATAATCGATATCTCGTTTATCTATTTTAATTTTATTCTTATTTGGATTTAAAATAATTCTTTTTTTGGATTTTATTTAACATTTTATTTTATTTAATTTCGATATTCGATATTTTATAATTTTATATAATGCCACACTAACACTTGACGTTAAACGTTGCTTATAAAATAAAAAAATAAAAAAGTTTTTATTGAAACAAAAAATTGATATTCATTTAAATTTAGAGTCAATGGTCCTTTACATTCAGCGATATTCAATGAACCACCGTTCAAGAAATTTTGTTAACTTCAATTAACCGAAAGGAATAGTGATATCAAATTTGCTGCGGTAGAGTTGGAATTTTGTGTGAAAAAATTTAAATTTTTCATTCAAAGTATTGTTAAGTCAGAAAAGAAGATAATAATAATGATCTTATTACCACCCAAAGTAGGTTAAAAGGTTCTTTTGAAGAAGAGCATTCCTTTACAGATGAACTTTTGTAATGCTTTGGGTGCTTTGGTCTCCTCTTTTGGAATTTCATAATCTAATTTGAAATTCATACTTACCAAATAATTTATTATAAACCAAATAACCTGAATTCTTTCGCATTAGCCTTTTTTTTAATGGAAAAGAAATTAAAGAAAATTTGTTATTTCATATTATTCATCAAGAACCGAAATTATTTCTTGGTAACACGAAATCTTGACAAAAAAAGAATATGTTATACGAACTTGGGTTAATTCCAATTGACAATTCAAATCAATATTAAAATAATCTCACGTTTGTAGGACAAATCTGAATAAAAAACCCATTTATAAGTCATACAACAGGCAAACACTTGCACGAATCGGTTCAATTTGAACTAATGAAAAGAAATTAATTATATACTAGAACAAAAATAATGTAATAAGAGGGGGAGATACATTGGAGGAATGATCTATTATTCTTATTTTGGGGAGGAAAGAAATATGGTTTGCTTTCATCTATCAGGCAAAGATGATAATATTTCTTGGCCACATTGAAAAAAAATAATAATACCGTGACAAAAAAGAATTTTTATCCGTTTATCACATGATTCAATGCACAAACCATAGAGTTGAATATGAAACTCTGAAAAGTCGGAATTTAATAAAAAGGAAAATAAGAAGAAAAAAAAAATACGCCAAATGATATCTATCAAAGCTAGATCCCGAAATATCATTAATTTATATGTAAAAAAATGCGATTTTCCATAAAATTTTCAATTTAATAAAAAAAAAAAGGATACACCGAAAATGCCGATAAAAAACAACGGTGATACCCCTTTTTTACAACAGTTTTCCAAATTAAATGTTGATCACGTGTAATATATAATATATTCGATCTTGGGGGTGGCTATTCAAACAATAACCAACCGAGTATTTCAACAGGAAATTTTTTTTCACTTATGGACTTGAAGTCGCGATTTAGAAAGTATATAATCCTTAAACATTTCAAATACTAAATACTGTATATAATAACAGTATTTACCTTGACTAGTTTTGTTACCTTTTGGGAAGCTCCCCAAGTAGCCCTTTACAATCTAAAGTATTTATTGTGTTACTTCGACGACAAAAGAAGCAAAAAAAAAAAAAAAAAAAGACTGTTATTCGGACACAATTTACAACCTTAACAGGGCAGCATCCATCACTTTCAACTTCAAAAAAAATACATAATTTGCCAGTATGACACATAATGAAAACGATCTAAATAAAAATGTAGAAATTTCTCATTTACAAGACGATAATGAGATAAATGATTCTTCTTCGACATCCTCCTCATTAATTTTTAATGTAAACTCTTCAGCAAATAAAACAAATAATAACAAATTATTCATAAGTGAATCAACTTCCATTTCTTCAGAGAGTTCAGAGGATGATGAATACGATTCACCGTCAAGAGAATCATATGAGAATAGATATATCCAACTTTCAACAAATATTGCATTAGATTTCTTGTCGACCTCTGATCAACCTAATGTGTCATCTTTTGACGCCGTTTCACTCCTTGTTTACAAGACTACAAGACTAATCGTCTTATATTGTTTAATTGCTTCTATATACGTCGCATTTTACTTAAGGCTAGAATCTGGCTTAAACCTCTGGTTTATTAACCTTTCTTGGACAAAATTTTATACTTCATGCGCCTTGTTTTGGGGTTACTGTCTTTATAGATTTAATTCGTTCTCGTTTAGGGACACATTTAACGTCGTAAAGTTTGGCATGATTGTCATCATTGCCATTCAATTATTGATGTTTCAATTTTCACCTATAAGTGATGTTAGAGACCATTTACAAAGTCACCTGTTATTTGTTGTGAGTGGTTCTATCGTCATAAGTTTACTTTTTTTAACGTTCGCCGGAAAAGTTTTTGATGCTCACAAAGTAGATCAACGTGCTTTGTTAAGGAAGGATCGCGAGAATTCAAAAAAATTGGCTTATGAACGTTTCATTGAAAGAAGGCAGTCTTATCTTCACACAATCTCTGACCAATTGTGTCAAACTACTGATTTGGCAAAAAATATTTTAAACCAATTATCTCCTCCTCATTTCCTATTCAAACCACATGAACAATTATCAGCTTGTTCAATTCCAATTCCCACTGTTTCTATAAGTGCTATTTACAATATTTTAAGGGACGTAGATTATATGTCTACCCATTTGGGAACCTTTTTATTTTTATTACATTCAGAAAATCTTGACCAAGAAACTTCTCACGTTAAACAAGAGTTTGATATTGGTGAGATAATACAACACATTGGTGATGTCCTTGCTGGTGACATGTGCAAAGCCAAAGTTGAATTGGTTATTTATCATGTGGATTATGGTTTAAATCATTTGAACGTCATCGGTGATCGAGCTGCTTTAAGCCATTCTCTCTTGGATGTAAGTGAGCAACTATATATATTTATATAAAAAAAAAAAAAAAAAAAAATGGAATATTTATTTAATAATTCATATTTCTTTACTTACTGATTTATTTATTTATTTTTAGCTTCTTAACTACATAATTGGTAGTGCTAGTCCTGGAGATTGCATAGAGTTAGGACTTCAAATCCGTTCATCAGATGAGTCGGAGGTATCTGAAAAAGAACGGACGATTAATCCGCATGACAAAGTCACTTGTATTATAGAAATCGTACACATTGCGGGAGCTAATCTGTCAAAAGAGTCCAATCGCAACAAATCCGTTATTCCTAATGCAAATTTGACTCATAAACTTTTAAGTTTTTTGGGGGTTGATATAAAGATGGAGTCAAAAGGAAATTCGCAACGACTCGAGATCACAATTGAGCTAGAGGCAGGATCACCTCTTGCACCACCTAATGTACCCAACGTTCATGAAGAAATTCTTCGGCGATATCCTCATCTAAGAATAACTGGAGAACCTTCTATGGAAGAACTCATCAAAACCTCAAGAAATATGAGAGGTCAAAGAGTCGCTTTACATGCTACAAGCAAAAGTTATTTTGCTCAACGTATTACGAGTTGTTTGACTACGTGGGGCACTGATATTTCGCATGTACCTATAGGCGGAGAAGAAAGTATTGAAACACCTCAATCGATTTCTCCTTTAGAATCTGGAGCTGGTACTCCGCAACCATCGGAAGATCATCAAAATCATGATGAATTGCAACAATCATCAAGTGCAAATTTTCCACCTACCTTTATAATCATTGATGACGATATCGATACGCTAAAGAAACAACTTATTCAGCTGCAAAAAGCACCATTCCAATTAAAAGTTCGGAATAAACAGCAAGGTCCAACATCATCTTCTCCATCACAAACTACAGCTGTAATTCATTTCACATCACTTGTAAACTATAAATCGGTAAAGGATGCTGTTCAATATATTATTTCATCACCGCCAACTACAAGTAGCTTTAGTTTACCACAAGTTTTAGTCATACCTAAGCCGGCCGGTCCGAGACGTTTTTTAACTGCGCTTCATACGACCATTAATAAAATCGTGGTTGATCCAGTTTATATGCCTATAGCCACGTCACCTATGAGCCCAGGCAAACAATATTCAAATCCAATAAATTTGGATCACGATGAATCTACGTTTATAAAATCATCTGGAACTTACTTCCCAGATGCCATATGTCAACCTTGTACACCTTCAACAACGGTCCCTACAAATAATCCACTAAGTCCAACAAATATTTTGCAACGCACCAACAACATAAACAACGGGGTGAAAATTATTCCAAGGACAAGAAATCCTGAAATTCATGACAAAATAATTATGGGATGTAGTAGTGTACCTTCAAATTCTCCTCACGTTACAACCCCAACTACTGTAAGTTTCCCAACGACTGGGGTAATTTCCGGATCTCCAATCGGTGCCGGTGGTCATGGAATTGCTAGTGGGATGTTGGGTACAAGTGCCAGCGTAAAACAACCTTCATCGCCCCCTCCGTCATCTCCTTCAGTAAAAAATCAACCCCCACCTTCCCGTCGTATCAGAAATAGAACATCGAAGCCGAAAAATGCCGATACTGTAATACCGCCAATCAATGTCTTGATCGTTGAAGGTAAATTCTTGTTTACTGGTTTTATTTATACATGAATTTATATATATATATATAATGAACTTATGAATATTTATTTTATTGTTACCAGATAATCCCATCAATCAAACAATTTTGTCAACGTTTATGAGAAAGAAGAAGATTCAGTATGAATGTGCATCTAACGGGAAAGAAGCTGTAGAAAAATGGCAAACTGGAGGATTTCATTTAGTTTTGGTAAGTAAATGATTAAAATAAGTATTCGTGTAAATTTATTTATATCTAACATATTTGTCACACATATATATAGATGGATATTCAATTACCTGTAATGGATGGAATTGAAGCAACTAAGACGATAAGACGTTTAGAGAAATCACAGAAAATAGGTGTTTTCCCCTCAGTTCAATCAACTCCCACATCGGATTCATCATCTGCTTCTACATCTGCTTCTACATCTGCTGCTTCTTCAATTACATCAACACCTGCTACAACTCCCATGCAACAACCCTTCCCTTCCACAGCTGACTTACCTGTTATTATCGTGGCACTCACCGCTTCGTCATTATCATCCGACAGGCAGAATGCATTAGCAGCAGGTTGTAATGATTTTCTAACCAAACCAGTGAGCTTGGAATGGTTGGAAAGAAAGATTCGAGAATGGGGATGTATGCAGGCATTAATTGATTTTGAAGGTTGGAAGAAAAGGAAGAGAAACGGAGATGAACAAGGAATTAAGGACAAAAAGGTCGAATCAACAAGTAATGTTGCTGTTCCTGGGGAAAAGAATAACGCCGATAATCCTAGAAAGGGCGGTGACAGTTCATCTAAATATTTAAAACAAAAAAACACACAGGATGATAATAGTTCAACGAGTGAAAATAATAATAATAATAATAATAATAATAATAATAATAATAAGACCACTGCAGCCTCAAATGGAACAGATTCATTAATTAAACTATCTCTACCAATAGTCATAAAACCAAGTTCAAAACCAAGTTCCCACGTATGTTCGATGAAGATCCAATCTAATACCAACGAATCCATTATCGATTCTAATGTAGAATCTAATAAGACAAACGATGTTTGCCCAACATCTACAGTAAACAACATGAAAAATAATTTAATTAGCAACAATTTTTTATCATTAACGACCACTCCAATCTCACCTACGACAAATTCCATAAATGAATCGTCCTCACAACCTTCAACACCATTATCAACATCAGCCCCTCCAAATATAGTAAGGAAGAGGGGAAATACTGTTTCTTCGATAACTAGTGTAAATGTGAGCGTCTTTGACGGAAAGTGATAATAGATCATAGTGATTTTGCGATGTGCTGGTGGAAAATTATAATTATTTTATTTTTATAATCTTTTTTATATATAATTTATATATATATTTCTTTGTAAAAAAAAACTAATTTTGTATTTATGAGAAAAAATTTTTTTTAATCAATTTGCAAATAAACAAATAAATATTAAGTTTGTGAATAGATTGTAATAATAATAACATATTCAATTTTTTTATTTGAATATGATGGTAAGTTAACCAAAATTCCATTACCCATACTAATTTATTGATTTTACATTTCAATAATAATTAAAAAAAAAAAAATACGATTAAACTTTATAAGGGTATTCAACCAATTTTCCATTTTCGTCACAATAATTAAATGGAACGTTAAAATGTCGAAATAATACTCCCAATACAAAAACTTCATTTTTTGTAAAGCTTCTTGAATCGATGACAATGTCTTTTTCATGACCATGAAAATTTTTTGAAGCGGCATGATATAATCCACCTAAACTTCTTTGGACATCATTATATCGAAGGAAGTTTGCTTCACAGGCATGAGTTAATTCTTTAATGAATTCCTCATTATCTGACAAAACCTTCAATGCCTTGTCATTTGGTTCAGAAAACGAGAGATTTTTAATTGATGATAAAATAATCTATTATCATAAAAAAAAAAAAATCAATAAGATTCAAAAATCAGATAGGACAAATAAAAGGTATTACCTGTGAGCGGATGAATTCTAACGCCCCACGGACATTACACAAATTCTTTATTTGTAGTAATTTCTGCGTGCGACTTAAAAAATCTATCTTTTCTTCCACTCTTTCATTTTCCTTCCTTTCATATAAATTAAATTTTTCGTTTGATAATTCAATTTTCTTTTCATGTAATTCAATTTTCTTGTCATGTAATTCAACTTTCTTTTTTAAAGAAATGATGTCATGTCTATCAGATTTTTTAACCATGCTTTTTTCGATGGTTTTTAAACGCGAGAAGTTTCGCGCCAACTGGAAATTCTACAAATGACAATTGGTACAATATTGGTACAATTGGTGCATAATAGCTTCGAAATTAATTAAATATACACAAATGAGATTAGCTTACCAAAGGTACTTTTCTTAGCGGAAGTCTTGCGAAAAGGAGATTATTCATTTTGTAAGGTTATTTAAGAAAATGAAAATTTTCGACACGTTGTAGGTAAAGATTTATTCAAGTTGACAGAATTAAGGAGGAATGAAAAAAAAAAGTTAAAAAAAAATAGTTTGATGAATTAAATATTTGACGATAAGTTTGCGGAGAATTGGTTATTTATATACCGTTCAATACGACAATGGTGATTGATGCAACAAAAGCAAAGATAACATTTGAAGTCGAAAACAATGAGCATCTTAATGGATTGATTAGATTCACTCCGACAAAGTTGTAAATGGATTAAAGACAATTGAATTAAGAGAAACTTTTGAAAAATTAAATTTACCAATCAAAATAATCTTAATTTAATAATGATTTGTTTCCACATGCTAAATCTGCATGCCCAAGTATAATAAATGTTTAACTGAATTACGATCGGATCACAGTGGAAAAGCCACCGGACACTTAAGAATTAAAAAACAAAATCGAATAAAAACGTTCTTTCAAATTAAATAACTATTGGTGAACTCGGAGCGTTTTATTGATTCTTTATTGTTATACCGTAAAAAATATTTGCAAAGTTGCAATGAATCAAAGAA